CCTCCTCTTGGGACTCTGACCCATTTCCTGTTATGATCTCTAAAACTGGGTCAAGTGTAATTCTGTTCTTTCCCTCTAAGTGTAGCTGGCAACTCAGACACCCAGATGGAACTGCTCATTTTAACTTGAGCATTTGCAGTTCCTGTTGGAGCCCGGCATGACCGGGCAGCGTCTGCTTGATCCTTTTGTCCATTTCAGCCTTTCTGGGCCACATGTGGCAGCCAGGGACCTGGTTCAGTCTCTCGTGTCAATCCTTCTCAAACCACCCGTGGGCTCTGTCCCCAGGGTGTTGTCTGGTTTCCAGGAAGGATTGCTGCTCTGGAAACTCAGGCTGCCATGGGATTGATCAATGTGTTTGCTCTTGTTGGGCACAACATGGTGGCCCGGGGCACCCCAAGGGCTCAGCCAGTGGTGGGAGCCAGGTCTGCCAGCTTCCATCCGTCTGTTTGAGGCAGAGGACTTTCTGGGAGAGTCCGAGGTCTCCCCAGGATGCTGAATCTCCTGAAGACACACCCTACTTGTTTCTTCCTCTTAAAACAAATGAAGAGACATTTTGTCCATATACTTCATTCAGCACTTAAGTCTCAAATAAATAAAATCTTAAAAAACAAAACAAAACGTTTCAAGGGTTCTCAAATTAACTGTCTTTTAAATGGCTAAGCAAAATACATGTTAGTTACTCCTGTCTTCACCAAACTCCACAGGAAGTATGAGGAGAGCTTCACATCCATTCTTTTGTTACTGAATGCACTAACTATTGACCTTCGCTGGCTCGGGGTTTTGCACACAATAAACATTTCTTGAGTGATTGAGCTATGCTCATGGAAGACCATATATACCTTCTTTTCTTGCCTTTCTTCTATGATCCATCCTTTTGCTTATCTTTCCAGGGCTTAACTTAGAAGGGGTCTGGGAACTTGGATGAGAAAATACTATATCTTGATTTTTCACACAGCTAACCGAAATGTAACATTCCCTCCAGTTACAAAGGTAACAAACCACTGCAGTATTAACGGTCCCTGAGGTTTTTTTACTTTTATTTTTATTTTTATTTTTATTTGACAGAGACACAGCGAGGGAGGGAACACAAGCAGGGGGAGTGGGAGAGGGAGAAGCAGGCCCCCCGCAGAGCGGGGAGCCTGACGCGAGGCTTGATCCCAGGACCCCGGGATCATGACCCGAGCCGAAGGCAGACGCTTAACGACTGAGCCACCCAGGTGCCCCAGTCCCTGAGGTTTTGTCACCAACTGAAATCACAGGTATTTTTATGTCACATTACAGTTATTGAAAAGAGTTCAAAATGCCATTTATGCTCATCAGTACTTCCAAATGACTGTAGTTAGACTTATTGCTAGATCTTGCCATTTGTTGCAATAAACAAACATATATATTTTCTATTTTGATAACTGTATTCAGTGCAACTGGGTTCCTTTGGAATCCTATGTATTTTATGTCTTTAAAAACATCTTGAGAAGAGGTCCATAGTTTCACTAGCCAGACAAAGGGGTCCACAGCACACAAAGGTCAAGACTCCTTGGTTACACAATGCCTTCTGGTTCCTTCATTTTTTTTTTTTGTCCTTGTCCAGTGGAGGCGAGGACCAGCTGATCAGAGCAATTGGGAGAAAGGAGTGAATTGAAGCCTTAAAGTTTTCAGAAAAAGGCTCTGATGGTGCAAAGTGAGATGCTGCCCACTAGTGGCTGGAAGTCAGAACTGCGAGATTGAATATAAAGCACGCCTTTAAGAGGTCTGGGGTGCTGATTCTTGGTACTTGGGTCTGAAATAAGAGAAACATTGAAGGTATAGATTGCGCTGGGCAGCATAGACATTTTAACAATGTTTATTCTTCCGATCCATGAGCATGGCATGTTTTTCCATCTTTTTGTGTCTTCAATTTCTTTCATGAGTGTTCTGTAGTTCCTAGAGTATAGATCCTTTACCTCTTTGGTTAGGTTTATTCCGAGGTATCTTATGGTTTTTGCTGCTATTGTAAATGGAATAGTTTCTCTAATTTTTCTTTCTACAGTTGCATTGTTAGCGTATAAGAAAGCAACTGATTTCTGGGCATTGCTTTTGTATCCTGCTACATTCCTGAATTGCTGTATGAGTTCTAGTAATTTGGGGGTGGAGTCTTTTGGGTTTATCATGTCATCTGCGAAAAGAGAGAGTTTGACTTCTTCTTTGCCACAGAGGCAGTGGGCAGTTTTACCCCTGCCCACATATCACTATCGGATTCCTCGTTCTCCGTTCCAGCCATCTTCGCTGTCATTCAGTGACTCAGAAGCTTCCTCCCACTTAGGGAATTTACACACCTCTCTCAGTTTGTAATGACATGGTCCCCCCCCCCCAATTTTTTTGCTCCATGTTTGTCATTGAACTAGACAGTAAAGCCCGCGAGGCAGGGGCTGCCTGCTTTCCTTCTCTGTAGTAACCTCAGTGTCTGCCCGAGGATACTTGTGCACTGAGGAAGAGTACATTTCAGTTGGAAAATTCATAAAGGGACTGTAAATGCTAGCAGAACGGATTTCGGTACATCAACAATCGAGTCAGATGGTCTTCCTCCACCTATGACACTCCGGCTATACCACCAAGGCCCCTCTGTGTTCCAAGTACATGGAGACTTCAGGCCCAGCGCAGGAGACACAGTATAGCAAAACTGACAGGCTAGAGGTCAGATCCTGGCCTCGATGCTTCCTTCTGGGGTGATCTCAGTATCTCTGGGCCTCAGTTTGCCCATCTGTAAAATAGTGAAAATACTAGTACCTAGGACATAGAAGGGTTAAGAATGCTAATGAGGGAAGGTAGGTACAGTACCGAGCACATAATAAGAACTGACCAAATGGTGACCCAAAGGAAAGCCAGCTGAGCCTGAGGGATCGCCCACTCTTGCTCCCCTCTTGAGAGGCACCGGATTTAGAAACCAGAGGAGCTTTGCAACAGGGTGGGGCCTCGCTCTGCCTTGGTTGGGATGTTCCGGAGAGGCAGAAGATTCTTCTTTGCAGCTTGGCTGGGATCCCCGGCTATGTGTCCGTTTCTCCACCTGCTTCACGCGGCATCTCTGTGCACGTGTGTGTGCTGGACTTGCTGTCCCTGAACAGTGGTTGAAGTTGTGATTTCTTTCCGATCTTTTTACCCCCTCCCGTTCCCGCCTAACTCTTGCTCCAGAGAAGAAGAACCGAGTTCATTCACTCTGGCTAAAGATGGAGTTGTAACACTGGAAGCCGTCTCGGCACAGAATTTCACAGAATATATTAGTGAATATATTCGGTAAGTAATATATTCAGCTCAATAAATATCAGTTGTGGTGATTTCCCTATTAGAAAATAGCGGACTGTCCCCAGCGCCAGTCTAGTCCGCCCCCCTAACTACTATAACATCTGCTAAGCACCTGGCACTTCGACGCTTTCCGGAGAGATTGGATGAAAGAGCAGAGAGGAGGCTGAAGGCGGCGGCTTTTCCCTAGCTAGGCTGCATCGCCTTTGACTACCCTCAGTTCTGCACAGTGGCCAGTAGAGGGCAGGAGCAGTTAAGACAACAATAGGACCCGCCAGCCCCAGAATTCCTGGCTTGAGGAGGGAGGATGGCGGAGGGAGAAAAATGTTAACAACGACTGAAAAAACCCAATTGTTCTTTATCTCCTGGGGACCAAATGGAAGGAAATGTGTAGCTAGTGGGATGGAAGTTAGACTTCGGGAAGAACTTCCAGAACACAAAGTTTGCTAACTAGAACTTTTTTTTATACAGGTGATTTTTTTTTTAATCCCCTAGCTACAACTGCGCAAGCAGAAAAGGTGAGAAAGGGGGCTTGTCCAGTCCAAGGCCTATGTGACCCACTAGGTCCCCTTAAAGTAACCCTTCTGAGTGTGCCTTAAATGACTCCATTCTTTGAGATGCAATCATAAAATAAACTTTATTGGTCAGGTTAGCCACCACTCATGCTTTTCCTGTAATAAGGATCCTTTATAGAGGCATGATGGTGTTCACATGCAGACGCTTTCTGAAGAGCCTGGGGCAGGGGCAGCCTTGCTCCCCACATCAGAGCTCCTTTGTTGAAATGAGCTGGTTTGGCTTTTGTGGATTTTTGAGTCTGGAGCCAAGCACATAGTCCAGGGATCCTCCCCTCCACTTCCCAGCAAAGCGTACCCAGTATCAGGGATGTAATGGCATCTGAGCAGGGGCCAGGCTAGGGCTAGCTGTCCTCAGGCAGTCCCTGTCCCTGACTGCCCAGATGGCTCCATCCCAATGGTGCCAAAGGGGCGGGATAGTGAGGCCCCAGGCATCATTACCTTTCAGACATGGGAAGAAGGAATTGCTCTCCAGCCAAGCTATAAAGCAAAAGGCATCTTCAGTAATGAGGGTGTAGCTCAGAGATGTGAAAGCAGAGGGTTTCATCCTTGGCACAGGCCAGATTTGGCTGCCTGGCACAGGCTTCGCAGACCCAACAAGCATCTCCAGCCAGAGTTTTCACTATGCACTGTGGCCTCAGGACAAATCAATTAACACAGCTGAACCACAGCGTCCTCTTTTGGGCTAGCCAGGCACGTCCAGGGCTGGCCGGAGTCTGCTTCTCCCATCAGGATGTAGACCTTTCTGCTTGGATAAAGGGAGAGGACACACTACCTTTCTCATGCTTTCAGAACCACGTGCCATGGAGGATAAAGACCCGAGTAAGGAGCGGCTGGGAACACAGAGGGTGTTGGGCAAGGGTGGAACTCGGGGGCCTGCTTCCTCAATTCAGCCGAATCGGGACGTTTGCCCCTATGAGGGATGCTGATGTAAGCAAGATCTGGCCTTTCCTGGGTAGAAGTCTGATCCACCTTCAAAGCACTGCCCAGCTGCTAAAATACAACCCCTCCATTTACAAAAGCCTCAGGTTGGCTGTCTCCTCCCATATCAGTCCCTGAATATTGTGATCATGCTGGTGCCCTTCAATCTGGTGGCTTTCAAGGAGTGAGGTTAGGGAGGTGTAGAGGTGACTCTTGGTTTCCTTCCCCCCCAGACACTAGTGTGACTTCTCCGCACAGGCCACGGGGCCGATGCCCAAACGCCTTGGGCTCTCATGCCTCTGCCCAAGGCACAGAAGAGGTGTGTGTGCAGCAAGGCTGAGTGGATGAGGAGGGTGAAGGAGGAGGCAGTTGGGCAAGAGGTATATTCCGAGGAGCACTGAGAGGAAGCCCAGAGTAATTGCACCACCTGCCTGGCACACAGGAGAGCGGTCAAGCGCTGCTCACAGAGAGAGCCAGGGATTGTGGGGAAAGCACGCTCCGTGCGTCCGTGCGGTTGCCCAAGCGACTTGTTAAGTTCATGACGCCAGATCATTGGGAAGAACCTGGGGGTAGTGAGGTGTCTGGGGTTGGGACTTCCAGGGATTACTTCCTCTGCTACCACTTCCTCTGTCCTGGAAAGAGAGCTGCAGCCATGTCCCTCAGTAAAAGGCTGCCTGTCCCCTGATCCCACCTGACCCTGCCTACATGGAAGAAGACTACAGAGGGAGCCCATGGAGTTCTGTCATATGGTCTGTCCCAGACCTTCCAGCAAAAGCCAAACCAAACCATCAAGCCAGATGCAGTGGGGCGTGGGGGCCTTCGGCCCCGTGCCCCGTGCAAGGGCCACTCAGATTTCGATGAGGCTGGCGAGGCGCAGGCAGAGGGGCGCGTCCACCGGCATTGCGCTGCGCTTAATCTCGTTCCCGTCCAGGCGAAGCACCTGCAGCTTGGAGAAGTTCATGACGTCCACCACGGTGCAGAAGCTGCTGATGGAGAACTCTGTGGGGACAAGAGGGGCGGGGTGGGTGGGAGAAGCCAAGCCCGGATCAGGGACCCGGATCTACAGGGAGGCCGGTCAGCCTCTGTGAAGCGGCTTCAACACTTCTGAGGGGAGGAGTGGGACTTGGCTGGGTGGGGCGGCGTCTTCCCGGATCGGAGTCATAGCGACTGGCCCCGCTAGGGGGCAGCACCAGGACTGGGGTGGGGTCTCTGCCCGCGTCGGCGGCTCCGCTTCCTAACCACCCCTAAGCTGCACGGTACTCTGCAGTCCCTGGAATGTCCTTGAGTGTCCTTCCCGCCGAGACCTGATTTTTTCCCATTTGTGGACAGCAGGGGGAAGCAGAAGGTAGTCAAAGACCAACCTTAGCAGCTTCGAAGGACTTTGCTGAACGGCTCTGAGAAGGAAGACTGGGGAAATGGATGGACTTAAATCTGGAGTATCTCCTGACACTTTGCAGATAGAGAGAGGGGGCAGGAAATTAGAGAAATCCTGGGCAGGGAGACAAGTGTCCTTGCGTGCGGGAGCTTTGAGGGGGTGCATGTCTTCATTGCCAGCACCGCCAAAGGAATGAGCAAGGCCCCGAGGTTCAAGAAGGCGGAAATTCATAGATGAATAGGGCTGTCGTGGACCTCAAAAGTCAAATAAATAATTCCCTTGCCTCCTGCATTTAATATGATATGGTTTACCCCCCCTTTTTTTTAATCTCAAAAGAAGTCTCCTTTTTGAAGATATTCCCCTCCGCCCCAAACCACATAATCTTAATAGATACAATAGTTCTGTTTGGGTTTAACATAAATCCCTCCGTTTTCCCTCTAGTTGTCTTCTTGGACATATCGGCCACATCTGTCTCAAGTCTCCTGGGTTAGGAACTTGAAGGGAAAACACCAAGAACTCAGCACAACTCCAGGAGAGCCAGCACAAATCACCGTGAAGAGCTGCCTTCCACGCAGTGCCTGAGGGCCTCTGGAAGCTGGCTCCTGCCAGAGGGGCTCCCAGAGAAGTTACCTGTTGGATCTCGGTGGGATACATCTCCCGGGCTGTCGCTAACATGGGGCAGCCCCAGAGCTTGCCTTTGCTTCCACCAGAGAGATTGCTCAGCTTGCCAGTGTGGTCGGGAGGCATGGGAGGAGTCAGAGGAGGCTGGCCTCATGGAGGGGGCGGTCATGGGTGTGAAAGCGAAGGCTGTGAGAACAGTGTGGGGGGCTTAAATAGGCTGGCGAAGCAAGTGCTTTTCAATTAGCACTAACAACTGGTTTCAGTCCCTCTTAAGAACTGACCAAGAGGAGATGGGGTGAGGCTACAGCCCATTACCTTGTATTGCAAACATAAGACAGAAAATCCAGCTCCGAAGAATAATGGGACACTGGACTCGGAAGAGGGGAGAAGATGGGAAATGCCCTTCTGTGGACAGCCTTCAGTGGCAGGGTGGGGGAGTATGAGGAGGGGAGTGGGTGCCGATGGGAGGGGTGTGGGGAAGATGGAGCTCTTTTGGATACTTCTGGATGTCTCCTTTCTGGTCTCAGGAAGTAGATTAAGTGGCCTCTGAGTGGGCAGGTTCGGGCAGAGCTTAGGCCAGGGGCTGCGCCTGTGGTAGCCATGGAGGAGGGTAGAGTGGGGTGGGCTGGGGAGAAGTCAGTTGGGTTGGCTGATAGATCACTTCCAAATCTACTGCACTAGATGGATTCTCTACCCCAGCCTTGGGCCCTCAGACCATCCGCTAAAATCCTGGTTCCCTGCGCACGTATGTGAATATGGGGGATACTTAGGGGCTGCTAGACACACCCCGTATACCGATTCCATCCACACAGCAGATGCACTGTGCCCCTCTGTTTGCCTTCCCCACGCTCATGAAGAGGACAGGGCTTTTGCTTGGAGACTCTGGAGGACGTTTTCCAGCCCAGATTAAATACTGACATAAGTCTTTCCAAATTCCTCCTGGGGTACCCACCCTGCTCCCTTGGATCCCACAGCTACTGAATAACATTCCGAGCTGTGTTCCCTTGCTGTTGCCAGGCTGGAAAATCTGAGGGAGATGCTAATAGAAGAGGCAAGGGGGAGGGAGGGGACTGGCTTGATTCCCTTGCACACCCTTTAGTTCCTGCCCTCCATTTAGCTCCTCCCCAGAGGACTGCTTCAGTCCCACCTCCACCACCACCGCCCCTGGCTGTGGGAGGACGCCCTAGGAGAGGGGCCCGAGCTTGGGGCACTGTCCTTCCTGCCCATGGTCTGAATCAGAGAGCTATTCCTCACGTTCTCAGCCAGAGACGCCGGGCGCCAGGTCCTTGGATGTTGAAGGCTGGCCTTCAGGGTTTTACCTACATAGCCTGGGTGGCCTGGAGAGATGGCTGCTTCTTCTCAGTGCCCCCGTCTTCACAATGCAAGAAGTCAAACAAAACAGTATTCTGCCTGTCAACTCCCAAGTGGCAAGGAGAAGAGAAGCTAGTCATTGTTATTGTGTATTGCTTCTCAGTTATGTGCCAGGCCCCGGACCAAGCCCCTCCCATGTCTTGATTCGCTAATTTAAGACAAAGTAAACGTAGGAACTGGTGTTATTTTGCCTCAGAAGAAGACTGGCAGAGAGACTAAATGATAACTGGATCAGGGGATTTGGCTTAAATGACACAAGAAGGGACTTGGGGGAGACACTGAACATTTTTAGGTTGTTTGGCTTACTGGAGAACTTTCTCTCAAGACCTTGGGACACTTAACTGAAGTGGTTTTATCTTCCGCAGAGCTTTGCGAAGGGGCGGGCCACCCTGTATTTGAGTGGCAGACGTGCTCCGCATGGAGGCAGGCGGTGACAGGGTGCCGTGATGGAGCCCTTCCCACCCCGACTTTCTCTGACTGTGTATCATCAGGCAGTAACCAATGGGTTCTCTCCCACGACAGCTGTTCTTTGCTGTCACATCTTCAGGAGCAAACACAGCACATAATGTGACATTTCTGATGTGACAGCCCCCCGGCTTCGGAGTGGGGTGGCAGGTGACTTCTGGGTGGGATGATGGACAGCCACAAGTAAATGTCAAACCCTTTGCAGCCTGCGACATCTCAGAGACATCTCAGAGCTGTGGCCCACTTGGGAATAAGACCTCCCCGCACCCCAGAAAAGAGAGACTTTACATATAAAAGAGTTTGGGTGCCCATGATGGTGTCTTGCACTTCGAACCAGAGGACCAGACACCTCCTTACCTCGCCCGCCCTGCTGTCGACCTCTGGGACCGGGTGCCTCTCTTCCTCAGAGGGCTGTCCAGCCCGTTTATGTCTTGCTAAATGACTGATCTGTTCCCTGAGCACCGGGAGGGAAAGAACAGAGTGGGAGGGAATGAAGGCTCAGTCCCTATCTGTGCTTTGATGGTGTGGTTTGCTCACAGCAGGCTCCACTTCAAAGCCCTTTGCCAGGTAGTGAGTCCTTTCCCAGGGAAAGGGGGACTTTGCTGACCGAGGAAGGCTCAGTACCTTCCAGCTGGGATTCCAACATCAGAGGCCCTGGGGTAATGTAAGCACATTCTGAACACAAGATCCTGACATGGAGCTGAAAAGCAACTAGATCATTCCACCCAAAATGAGTATTTTAGTTCTAAGAGGCAGAGAGGCAGCCCTTTTGATTCCTTTAGGCATTTACCGGGAAGTGCTTGGAAAACAAGAGGGCTGTGTCCTTGCCCGCTGCCCCAGGGCTTTGTGGTGATAGGGCCCCTGTCACCCTAGGGGGACCTCTGCCCCACCACCAGGGGCTCCTTGTACTCCAGGGAGAACGGACCAGAACAAGTACCTCATTCAGCTCCGAGAGGCTGCACATTCTTATCCAACAGCTGTTAGGTTTAAAAGACAAACAGCCAAACACATGGCCGGCTGCAAAGGCAGGGGTAGGGCATGTGGAAACAGAGAGCTCATCCTCTTCTGGGTCAGTGAGTAAGAACGAACGCCATGGTTTCTTAACAGTCCACCTTCCTCCCAAGATGGACCCTGGAAGTTCAGCTTAAATCCCCCTCTCTAGGAACTGCTCTCATCCATACCTCCGCAAACTCATCTCTCCTTGCTCCTCAACACGTGAGCCCTTCCTCTCAGACACACAGATGTCCTGGCTGTCCCCTACAGGTGACCCATTAAATGACTGGTCCCTCTGCAGTACTCCCACCCCAGAATGGCTTTGTCCCTTCCCTCCAGCCCGAGCTCACTTAGCTCTCAAGACTTAGATGGAAGCTTACCTCTTCTGGGAAGTCTTCTTCCAAAGCCAACCCACCCCCCCACCCCCAAATTTTCCCAGCACTGCTGTTTAGTCTAGGGGCGTGCTGTGTTGGACCTCTTGGACAGGGGTAGAACGTGGATTGAAGGTGGCTTCATTTGTGCTCTGTTTCCCCTACTTCTATGTCCTTTGCATTGCTGCTAGCACTCACAAGAGGGTGTTTTCCAATGAAACAGCCAGCCACTCCCCACTCCCCGTTGTCAGTCTCACCATTGATCCTATTGCCTTGGAGGTAGAGATTCTCCAGGTTGGTGTTGACTGGGGGGATCTTCTGCAGCTGGTTGTAGGAGAGGTCAAGCTCAAGGAGGCTGCTGGAGTTGAAGGTGTTGGAGGCCAAGCCATTGTTGGTGAGACTGTTGTGGGACAGCCGCACGTATAGCAGCTTGGGTGACCCCCGGAAGTAGCTGTCGGGGACAGAGTAGACATTGTTGTGCTCCAGGTACAGCTGCTCGAGGGCTATGGGCAGTCCATCAGGCACCTTCCGCAGGTGGTTGTAACTCAGGTCCAGCAAGATCAGTGACCGGAGGCCCCTCATCGCACTGCCCACTTCCTGGATCTCGTTGTGCTGGAGGTACAAGGCTGTGAGGTTCTCCAGCCCCTCCAGAGCGTTGTTGGGGACCTTCGATATCTGGTTGTGGTCGAGATGGAGCTCCCTCAGGGATCGAGGCAGCGGGCCGGGCATCCGGGTCAGGTTGTTGTGGTCCAGGTATAGCCTCTCCAGGTGCCTCAGCTTGGAGAAGATCTTCTTGCCCACCTTATCACTGGTGATCTGGTTGCCATGGAGAGCAATCCAGAGCAGCCCGGTGGCATTGTCGAAGACGCCTTCCTGGATGGACGAGATCTGGTTGTTCTGGAAGTAGACGTACTTCATGCGGGAAGGGACAAAGGGCAGATACTTGAGGTTGCGGTTGTCACAGTACATGGCTGTGGGGAAGTTGGGTGGGCAGTCGCACTCCTGAGGGCAGTCACGGGGCTCTGGAGGGGGCGGAGAGCCATAGGCATAGGCTGGGCCCTCCTCCACCCCGTAGGGGTAGGGCTCGTAGGGCTCATACGGATAGGGGTCATAGGGATCGTAGTAGGTGGACTGCTGGCTGCGGAGGTAGTGGAACCACCAGTGGGGATCTTCGTCGTACTGGGCCCAGGAGAGGGAGCAGAGCCCGGCCAGCAGCAGGAGGGAGGCCCACTGCATTTTGTTTCTCTGCAAGATGGGGGAGAGAACAGAGCAAGCAGGTGTGAGTGAGACAGCAGGGAGGCAGGGAAGCGAGCCTTGGGCGGTGAGTGATCAGATCTGACTTCGGCAGCAGGCCCCTGGGACTGGGAGCCCCGTCCTCACTTCCCACACACCTCCCCCCAGGGCCGGCTCCGCACACCTGGTCCATCTGGACCGTGGCTATCTGGGGGAGCTGGCTACATTTTACCCTGCTCACAGAGTCACAGAAGCAGAGCCTTCGAGATTAGAAGGAACTTGAATGGGGGGCACTGCATTTTTTTTTCAGGGGGCAGGCCCTTAGGAGCCTCTAGCCACCTGAGAGTTCTGTTGGGAGAGCTGGAAAGCCCCAGCAGTCATCCCTGGGCGGGGGGGTGCTCTTCAGGCCTGAATTCCCATTCAGTTTGGACTCCCCGGGGATATAATATTTTCCAAGAGTCCAAGGAAAAAGCCCTCTGGTTCTTTCCCCGTCTCTGGGAAACCTTCAGAAGCATCTTGAGACCTCAGAGGGGGAAGATCTGAACTACTCCTGGAAGATCTTTTGGTCTCTTGGGTGGGGGTTTCTGGCTTCTAGTGTTTGGGGAGGGTTGTGGTCCGTCTGCAGTCACTGCAAGGCTCGGGCTGCCTTCCAAAGTGTCAGTGTCTGTAGCAGTCTGCTGGGTGAGAACGCTCTCTGGTTGGCAGTCTGTGGCTACGTGCGCTACCTGGCTGACACAGCGTCTTCATGTAACAGCGACAGTCCCCTCCCAGACTGGGGACCCTGGCACCAGGTGTGGTGGTGTCTTCTAGGGTGGGTACTGAGTGTGTGGAGCCTGAGTCAGTGCACTTGGCTTCTGTGGTATCAAGTAAAGAGTTAGCCCCCCCTCATGCTCCACCATGGACATTATGCTAGAGCCTCAGGGTACAGAGAAATGAATGAGGAACACTGAGAAATGGAATAGGAGTTGAGGACACCTGTGTTATACTCAAGAGAATGTGGCTTCAGAATGGGATTCTGGCATCCCCCTCTCCCATCCTGGGCTACCTGTGATGACATCTGGATTACCAGCCTCCATGATTAGCCCTCCCCTCCCCCCATAGCCTGTTACCTTGAGCTCGTATGTTAGTGAGATGAGAACAGGGCAGGCTTGGAGAGAAAGGTGGGTTTGGTGCATTCTGGGAGGGAAGCTGAAGGTATGGAAGATGAGGAAGCTTACTGGTCACCCTACTCTGAGTACCTATAGCCAATGCACTGGATAGCCCTTATGAGCAATGGGAACCTTCCAGAGGTGTGAGGGTCACCCTTGGACAGAGGAATCTTAGAAGCTTTCCTGGTCCCGGAAGGGTTGCATATATCCCTCACATTGCTGTTGGGCCTCCTGGGGTTGGCAACTGGAGACAGAAGAAAGAAAGGAATCTAGGAGTCAGCATCAAATCCAATGATGGGAAAGAACCTGACTGTGACACTCAGTCTGGTCACCTCTGCCACCGTTCCTCCCAGGCCCCAGACCTCTCTGTTTCCTGAAAGTGATTCCTGCCGGCCCCCTTATTCCATTAGCCTCTGGGCTGCAGAGGAGAGGCACCTGGCTCATCCTCAAACAGCCTCAGGCCTCAGACAAAGAACTCACAGTGTTTCTGAGAAGCGAACCCAACTGCCCACTGCCTGGGCATGCTGGCTGGGCCCTGCCTCTGGCCAGGAGAGAAGACGGATGGAGCGGCCTGCTGCCAACAGCGCATTTTTCCATGCACAGCCCTGGGCTGCTGCAGGACCAAGGTAGATGTCTGGAGGCTGGCACAGTGAGCCTCTGTCTCCATTTCTCCTTCCAGACTGGGCATGTTGGCAGATGAGAGCCACTTTCCTCTTCAAGACCCAGCTTTCCAGGGGCTGTGCATCCTGCCCACTCGGGCCTCTCCTTAGGAGCCATGACTGCTAAGAGGGCTGTGTGGGGAACTTCTGCCTCTCCTCTGCTCCGTCTCTTAGCAGTGCTGCTCCAGGGTCATATACTTTTAAATCCCTCTGCCCACCCTAATAGCAGAGACCTTCCTGGGCTCAGAGTTTCGTGAGGTGGAAAGTTTCTGGGATTGGTGCTCCCTGAGGTGTGGGGAGCTGACTCAGGAGTTAATGCTCTTCTCTCATTTCTCCACTCTAGAGAACAATCTTTCCCTCCAATCAGGGTTGAAGAGGTCAGACCAAAATTTGTCTCCTCTGCTGGATTGGACCCTCCCTCATGGCTCCCTGAACATGGTTGATTCTCAACACTTCTCTTTATTCTTTCCCTTTCACCCCAGCAACACACACACACACACACACTCACAGCCCCCCATCCTTCCCCTATAACAACACTCAGGTACCATCATCTGCCTATAGGACAGACTGCAGGGCTGGGGTAGTGGGATTATGAGTACTAGCAGGACCGACCTGGCTTCTTTAGATACCTGGTCCTTCCCTTTTTCATGCCTGAGAAGGGGAGATTCCCCCCCAACAGCCAGAAAGGAACTGTAGGACAGAGGTAACACGTTCCCTCTCCTCCCCTTTGCCCCTCTCCAGCATCCTGGGGTCATGGCCCGGATGGGAGAATGAGGAATGGCTGCCCCCTGTCAGCCCCTCTCCCCAAGCCCCGGCCCTTTCCTTTACTCCCGCTAGGGAACTATAAGGGACAAAAACCGAAGTAAAATGACTAAACTTACCTCCAGTTGAACCTTTCAGAGAGTGACCACGTCCCTCTGTCTGGCCTCCTTGGGTTGGAGAACGTGTGAGAGAGAGAGAGACAGAGTGTCTACTGAGAGTGTGCGGGCCTATGCCAGGCCAGGGGCCCGCCCCCGAATTCCTAATCAAATGTTGTGAAGAGAGCGACCAAGGAGGCTGGATCTTGGCTTTTTCGGCTCCAGGGGCGGAGCTCACACCCAACCAAGCAAAATCCTTCCGTCCGCCTGACTTTAGAAAAACCACCTTCTTTCCACTCACTTATCTTCCCTAAAGCACTGGCAGCTCTGAGTCTCTTTCTGCTGAATGAGTTAGTGGCGCCCTGGAAGGTATTGGTATAGTCTCTTACCAAGTGCCTGGCTTTCTCATTAAACCCACAAGGGCAGATGCAGGGCTGGGGAGGGCCAGGACTGGGGAAGAGGCCATCTTAACTCTTTCAGCAACCCATGTGTCACCCTAGAGAGCCAGGACCACTCAGCCTTCTCACGTCCCCCTCCATGCAGGTGGTTAGACTAGCGCATGAGCGGGCATGACACAGGATGGCTGATTGTGGCTCCACTTCTGTCCCTTAGCAGTGTGGACTCGCCTGGGCTGCGGGGTTTCTCTCCTCCATTGGAATTAATGGAAAAGAATGGGAGCTCACCTTTGTGGGTTACTTACTGTGTGCTAGCATCACACACTTTCATTTAATCCCCTGGCAACCATTCCACTTTCTGTCTCTATGAACTTGACTACTCTAGAAACCTCACATAAGTGGAATCTACAACAGTTGTCTTTCTGTGACTGGCTTATTTCACTTAGCATCACGTTCTTAAAATTCATCCATCGTAGCAGGTGGCAGAATTCCCTTCCTACAGCATTCTCTTGTATGTGTAGACCGCATTTTGTTTATCTGTTCATCCACTGATCGACATTTTGGTTGCTTTTGCCTCTCGGCTCTCGTAAATAACGCTGCTATGAACGTGCATGTACAAATATCTTTTTGAGACCCCGCTCTTAATTAATTTGGATATATGCTCAGAAGTGGAATCATATGGTGATTCTATTTTTAATTTTTTAAACCACCATGCTATTTCCCAAAGTAGATGGGAATGCCAACAGGGCACAAGAGTTCAAGTTTGAAACACTCCTTGTTTTTTAAGAAATACCAACTGAGAAAGCTTCAGATTTGAATTTGAAGGCTTTAGAGGTGTCGAGGCAGATGCAAGTTTTGGTTGCTCCAATAGGTCTAAACTGTGTAGGCCATCAGAAAGGTCCTTGTCAGGAACCCACTCTTCTCAGGGCTTACGAAGAGTTTTTTTAAAAGAGTAAACATAATGAATGGGTATTTGCGGATCACCTGCTATAAACTAAGTGGTCTACTGATGTTATTTCACTTAATGATCACAGAAGGTATTTTGTGTTGAAAACAGAGGTGCAGAGATGTGGTGTGACTAGCTAGAAAGTGGTAAAACAAGGATTTGAACCTTGATCTGCACGATTCCAAAACCCACAGGCTTTCCCACACCAAAAGGCCAGAGGACTGATGGAGTGGTAGGGGCGATGACCACCCTGCTGTCATGGTTGGGCTCAATTCATATGGAGCCCAGCTAATTACAGTGGCCCAATCTTCTGGAATCCCAGGGGAGGGTAGCAGTGAGAGGGGGCTGGGGTACAGGGCTTCTCTTTCCAAGTCCAGACATATTTCCTTTCAATTTAATAAATATGAGCCTCTACTCTGTGCCTGGAATGTTCTTAAATGTTGGGGATGCAAAGAAGGTTCTAATATAATGCCTGCTCAAAATAAAGCAGGAGGCTTTGCAGCAAACTCCAATTCCATGAGGGAGGCAGAGTGGCCTTAATGTGAAGATGGTTATCAATAATGCACAGGTAGCCTTCTCATCATTTTGAGTCCAGAAAGCAGTCACTTTTCAACAGAAGACACTGGTTTTGGTAACAGGGCCCAAGAGTTGCTTCTTAGATGGGCCTAGATAGCCAGGCACATCTGCCCACTGAGTACAGATGTTTATTATTATTTTTTTTAATTGCAGCATGCTGAACAATACTGCATTTACTAACGGCGAAAGTCAGGGGAGCCAGGGGGCCAACCATTGACTGGGATCCTTCCCAACCAAGCTCCCCGCAAAAAGGCAGAATCTCCATGTGTTTTGTTGACCATTTCTAAAATGGTAAGATTTGTACCAGATCTTTCGTTATCTATCCTGTTCCGAGGTAGGCTTGGGAGGAAGAAAGACGGGAGGATGACGGGGACAAGGTCAGGAGACACATTCCAGGGGGACCATCCACAGTTCAGAAGTTCCACTGTCAATGGGCTCTAATCTCCATTTTGACTCCCATTGCTCTGTTTGCCTGGGTCCTGGATCTAGGCCCTCCGAGCTTGGCTTCAATATGGGAAACCAAGTAGGGGATACTGATGTCCTCCAGATTGCCTAGGGAGTCCACATGTGGAAGGGGTTCATTTGGGACACTGGTGCTCTCTGGGAGGTGTCAAGCCGGCGCTGCCCAGTCATCAGACTGCAAGCAAACTAAAAAGAGAAGCTATGTTACACATTTATGTAGCCCCACCCCAGCCAGGCATACAATGCCTGGCACTTAGTAGGTAATCAGTAAAGAACTGTGGAATGAATTGTATTTTTGGCTCCCTACAGAGTCTGCCTGTCTTCAGTACCCAAAGCCGGGTAGATAATCACCACCACCAAGGCCAGGAAAACCGTTTGGCTTTCAGGCCTATTTGACTTTCCAGGGGTTCAAGCCACTGCTATTTCCTCTCCACCCAGAAGAGTACAGGTTAAGCCACAACCACCAGGCACAGCTGATTGTCTCTGATGTTGGATCCACCCTGTCTGGAAGGGATGAAATGTGTTCTGATTCAAATTCCTACTGGAATTCAAAGACACAGTGACATTTTGGTGGCCACTAACCCCTTCCTCTTTCTCCCCCATAGGACCCAATACCTTTTGTTTTTATAACACAGCCTCTGATCCCAAACAACCAGGGGATGGGGTGGGGGTGACTGGATAAGAGTGGAAATCCACCCAAACAGAATTAGTGAGTTGAATATAAAGAGGTCAGTAGAAAAATGATCATGGTGATACAATCCAGCCTCCACTTCTGGCCCATCCTGAAAACTCTTGATGCCAGAGAGAGATTATTTATTAGTCTGATGTTTCAATAGAAAAGTCTTGGCTACCCTGGCACCCAATAGTAGTGTCCCAAAGTTTCCAAGGGAGTTTTTTCTCCTTATTCCTTTGGCATTGAGGGGCCGTTTGAAGTCCTCACCATAGATAGTCTCCTCTTTCCAGAAGGACGAGACAAAGATGATGGAGCTGGGGGAGAGACTTGTTTTCTTTCAAATGCAGTAGGAGGAAGACCTTGAGTTTGAAGTTCTGGGAAATGCGTTGAGGGCTTCAGAATTTTCTTCTAATGAGCTCCTTAAAAATAAGATAGAGAACATCTTTTCTCTTTTAATGGATAGAATCTCTTATTTTGTCTGTGTATTTACAGCATGCTTGGTACTACAACTTGATGATGACATGATGGATTCCAGAAGATCACCTTCTAGACAGTGTGAATGCACTTGAATTGAGAAATCAGGGTTGGTTCAGGGAAAGATACCTAAATGAGGAAGGAGGCAAAGGAGATAACCTGAAATCTGAAGTCTGGAGGCCACTCAGTGTAGGGCATCCTTCTTTGTTTTGCAAAATAGCTAAGAACTAATGATGTTCCTGAGACTGTGCTGGGGGAGAGAACTGATGTAAGATGGACAAGTTCCCAGGATTCTGGCACTAGTTATGATTACCTGGCTGTAGGTAAGACCAGGACTAGATATTAGCTCTAAAATACCAGCTACCATCTCTGAAATTCTTACCAAAACCCTATCAAATAAGTATTATCATACCTTATTTTTACAGATGAGGAAACGGAAATTTGGGAAGGCTATAAATTTGTTCAAGATTGCATAGCAATTAAGTGGCAGAGCTGGGATTTTAAACTTGCCTGTCTGCTTCTAGAGACTGAGTTCCTGACCACTATGCACATAGAATCTCCAGTGTAAAGGAATAAGCATGGGTTATGTATGTATGTTCTGATTCCATCTCAACCACTTATTGTCTCCATGACATTGGGCTAATTGCTTACGCATCAATGAGACTTCATTTGTAAAATGGGGGCAATAACCCTAACTTCATGAGATCTTGGGAAGACTAAATGAGATAGAAAATAGAGGATCCTGGTAGGGAACCTGTCATGTGGTGGTCCTCCAATAAGTGGCAGCCGCCTTTGGTTATTTTAGTAGATTGCAAGTTCCCTGGGGGGATGGGGAGCAATCTCATTAGTCGGCATAATGCTTGGCCAAGTGCCTGGCATTTATTAGGCCCTTTCTAAACATTGGTTGAATAAATGAAACGTGTAGAAGCTGGATTTTACTAAAGGGTAGTAAATCCACTTTGGTAACTTAAACCAATCAGAGAAAAGCTAGTTAAGGATAGAGGTGGGACTTTCAGTGCCTAGAATTTTTGCCTCTCCTCCCCTACCCTGCCAAGGAAGGACAAGAGAGGTGACTACAAGGTCAGTGTAGAACACTCTACAGACATGGAGAAATATCTTGGGGAGGGGGTGATGGAAAAGGTCAGGATCTAAGAGCCAAGTACAGAGCAGCCCAGGAGATGCCCCGGCTCCTTCTCAGACGGCGTTTAATAAGAGTCAGGGTTAGGGTAGAGAGAGGGTAGAACAAGAATACTACCTAACCAGTAGCACCATTCTGAATCCCTTTGGGCTGAGGAAGGAAATTGGCTCCTACCTGAGGATGGACAGGGCTAGTTCCTCAAAGCAAGAACTAGTGACATGGGCCCATGCAAAGGTCTAAGGACTTGGATCTAGTTCTCTTTTTTTTTTTTTTAAGATTTTATTTATTTATTTGAGAGAGAGAGAATGAGAGACAGAGAGCATGAGAGGGAAGAGGGTCAGAGGGAGAAGCAGACTCCCTGCTGAGCAGGGAGCCCGATGTGGGATTCGATCCCGGGACTCCAGGATCATGACCTGAGCCGAAGGCAGTCGCTTAACCAACTGAGCCACCCAGGTGCCCAGGACTTGGATCTAGT